AACCCTAAACCCTACACCCTAAACCAGGGATGTAGTTTTTGCAAGATTGAAGATCTGGGAAGGTCGGAATTAGCACAGGCCGAAGCTTTAGGGGTTTAGGGTTTAGGAATCTCGTGGCTTTACAACCCACCCCGCCAAACCCACACCTTAATCTTCTAGTTCCTTCGGAAAAATACTCAGTTTTGTTACAGTATATATATATACCCTAGGAATTATTGGAAATACAATCTCTATTATAACTCTAGGGGGATGACAGTAATCCCCACCCTGCAAAGGACCCGAGAGTCCCTCCTGGGAATCAAAGTGTGTCCAAGTATGAAAGACGTAGATGATCTGGACCCAACACAAACCCTAAACCCTAAATTACCTGTCTAGGAACTTCTTGCCCAAAGTATCTAGTATCTAGATGTGCTTACTCACTTGGACCTTCAGGGAACAATCCTAAACCCTACCCTAAACCCTAAACCCTTAACCCTAAACCCTAAACCCTAAACCCTACCCTAAACCCTAAAACCCTAACCCCTAAACCCTAATCCCTAAACATCCCTAAACATCCCTAAACCATAAAAACCCTAACCCCTAAAGCCCTAAACCCTAAAACCCTAACCCCTAAAACCCTAAGCCCTGAGCCCTAAGTCTCCTATTAAGCCGAGGCGTATTGGCACAGGACCTGGGAAACAAAGAATGTGGACGCCTTCATAAGCCACTCATGGCATACAGGACCCTGGCCCCTTAGACTGGGCTTAGGGTTTAGGGTCCCATGGTGCAGGGATTACGTAGGGTTTAGGGTTTTCAATTCAGGGGTTGGAGGGTCTAGGCTTTGGGGTTCAGGGAAATAAGCCTTAGGGATTCAGGGTATACCCTAGAGCTTAAACAGTTAGGGTTTTGGGGTTTAGCTTGGGTACTGCCCCCACTCAGTAACAGTTAGATAATACTTATAATAATATAGGTATATACAACCCTTAATAGGACCCCTGGCCCTAGACCCCAAACCCTAAACCCGGACCCCTAGTATAGACTGTTACTGGGTGGGGGCAGTACCCAAGGTTTAGCAGGTGTCCTTGGGAGCGCCAGAACCCTAAGAATTTGTGAAATTGGGTTTAGGGTTTAGGGTTTAGGGTTTGGAGGGAAAAAGCTTTTTGGCCCAAACCCTGAACCCCAAACCCTAAACCCGAAAACCCTGAACACTACAAGGATGAAGATACTGAGGCTAAAGTTCCTGGCTCTCTGCTTCGAGATGAACGTGACACTGGCCGTAAAGGCGAGCTGAGGGTTTAGGGTGCTAGGGATTTAGGGTTTTAGGGATTTAGGGTTTAGGGATTTAGGGTTTAGGATTTAGGGATTTAGGGTTTAGGATTTAGGGTTTAGGGTTCTTGGTGGTTATTGGGTGGTGTTATAGGGGTTTTATGTTTTATATGTGTCTATGGGGAACAATGCAAAAGAAAATTGAAACTACTATAATAGGGTTTAGGGATTTAGGGTTCAGGGTTTGGGGTGTAGGGTTTAGGTGGACCGCCCACCCTGTAATAGTGACTATGGGGGATAATAGGGATTATATTCGGGTCCTCTTATATT